GAAGACTGTAATCCTCTTCAGGATTCAATGCCTTCTAAATACAGTTATTACTGAACACATGCAAGAGGTTCCTTACTTTCTTTATTTTCATATTCTAACGACAAGTCTTTGCCGAAATAACTATTCGTGATGTAATGTCGAAGTCTTTGTCCACGGCGTTACAGCGAAATCCCAATAGCAGTCAGCAGTTTAATCTGTTATCACAGTTACTCTCGGTCCGTGTGGATGTGAAACGTTCCACAGGGCCCAGGTCAATATATTATACTTCATGATTCACACACATACACACACACACAGGCACACACACATTCTCTCTCTCCCCCCTCCCTCTCTTACTCACTCGCTCACACTCTTTCTGTACGATCACCGAAGTTAAGCAACATTGAGCCTGGTCAGTACCTAGATGGGTGAATACCAAGTGCTGTAGGCTTGGATATGCAGGTGGTGTAATGGATAAAGGATGAAGGCAGTGTTAATCGGAGGGCCGAATTCCAATTCCAGTTGGGTTCGCTATATTCATTTACAAATACCCTTGGGAGAGGTATGAATCCATCTCTTCTCATCCCTGCTATAAGTTAATTAGTAAGAATTGTATAATTAAATCATTATTATCTCAAAAAAAAAAAAATTCTTGCAATCTAAAAATATTTTCTGGCTTTAAATAACCTGCAAAGGGTTTATATTTTTATTTTTTAATCGTGATACAAAATAAAATAAAATGTTTAACAAATTATACACCCGGAGAATACATTAGAATGTTGCGGAACCTGATGATTAATGTCACCACCTTCCTTGAGTTGCTAGACACGGTTGTAAAGATTTGACTCAAGGTACTGCATCAAATGGCTGACGACACGCCTTCTAGCAGAACTTTACTCCTTTCCAGGAATGACTGACCGAGAATTTTCATTATCATGTCACCTGCTCCTCAACTTGTAACTTCCTATCTATTCTGATTTTAATCTTTTCCTGAGGCATTGTCGAGAGGGCGACCAGGCAGCGGCTCCATAATATCAGGGACTCGTTGAAGGCTTCTATCGTAGACGTGATGAAAACATGTACAAGATATATTTGACCCAAGCATAAAGTCGGTTCCGAAGCCACTTTGAGACCCTCTCTGTTTCAATATAAACTGTAACCGGTATTTGTTGTATTTTCCTTGCATCTTTTCTCATTTATATGTAAGATTGATTCTATCAATAAATCGTTGACTTCTAGGAACGGTATGCGTCACCATGTTTTTCGTCTTTCACTATAGGCAAAAATTTGAAGATCACACTCTGGTTTTAATAATTAGTAACTTTTATACGTTATTTGATTTAATTATTAATAAGCTATGATGCTGAAATTATTTAACCCATTAGTCCATGGCGGCCAATGTTTTAGAGAAGCGATTATCTAAAATCGAAAATCCGCTAGTCTTAATATTACCATTAGCTAACAAAGTAGATTAAGCAAAAAGAACTACAATTTTAAGGAAATTTTATGTCGTAATGGGTTAATTTCGTTATTATTATTATTATTGAATATATGATAAAACTTTCAGAAAGAGAAAGTTCCTGTGCTTGGAAGTGAGGTATTAAATTTGTTTTGAAAAATGCATGCAAACTTCAAAATTTAGGCTATTTTTCGAAATCCAGAGGTGGCTCCAAACATTTAACCTATAGCACACACACACACACACACACACACACACACACACACACACACACACACGCGCGCGCGCGCACACATATGTATATATATATTGCGCATGTGCGCGTATATATATATATATATATATATATATATATATATATGAGAATTTTGATATATAAAATTTATATAATAGACTAATGTTTGGTAATTGAATGAAAAATGCAAAAAAATAAAAAAAATTTGTAAAGCATTTCGACCCTTAAAAGGAATTCATCAGACTAAAATAATGTTCTTATTGGTGGAAAATGTTGGGGAGCTGAATGAAATCGGCTTTGCTGTAGACACATCGGACGACAGTAATTGAAAATTTGAATTTAAAGTTTCCTTTTGACGTATAATTATCACCTACGAATTGTCTATAGTTTATCCCATCCTTCTATTATATATAATTCTATCAATAAGAACAGTCTGGTGAAGTCATTTTGAAGGACGAAGCGCGTTACATAGTCTTTTCCATTTTGTCATTCAATTATATATATGTATGTGTATATCATTAGTGTATGTGTAAATGTATGTGCATATACAGCTAGATGTGTGTTCGGGTACAAAAGAAAGAATTATTATAAGATATATGTGGCGCATTCCAAGGTAAAAATGATTCGTGTGCCTTGGCCAGTGTTATCAGTGGCTTGTATCTTTCTCGCTAACTTTAGTGACGCTTTGAACATTACCGAAAGCGAAGAGAAAAGGTTTAATTGGAGAAAGCAAATAATCAGAGTGTAATATGCAAGTAATGTCGCACGCAAACGCACATACACAAACGCGCGCTTACACACACAAGCACACGTCCGAACACACGCACTGACAAATCAAAGATTGGAAGCTGGAAACATTTACGCTCACATATATTTTTTCACATATGGCTAAGTCTTTATTCCATGATATTGCTGTCATTCATTAACTTTTGAGGCGATGCTATATACAGCATCAAAACACACACACACATATATATATATACATATATACACACACACACACACATACACACACAAACATATATATATATACATATATATATATATATATATATATATCTGTAAGCGCTATTCATTATTCCACCGTGCCTCCATATATATATATATATATATATATATATATATATATATATATATATATATATATATATATATGTGTGTGTGTGTGTGTATTTGTAAAGCTGCATTTAATTTGATCACTCAACTTGTGAATAAAGAATCTTTTTCTAACAAATCTTTCGTTCTTTAGGTTTCGTCTTATTCTCCTCGAATTTACATACATACATACATACATACATACATACATACATACATACATACATATATATATATATATATATATATATGTGTGTGTGTGTGTGTGTGTGTGTGTGTATGTATTCACCACATGCAAGTAACTAAGATTATAGCCTAATGAGAAAAATACTTTTTTTTTTACAAAAAAGATATATATTTTTCAACATTCTTAATCCAAAATTTATCCATTAGCCTTATGAGTCGAACATTATACAGTGAACATTTACAATCAAAATTCATCTAATGCCTGGTTCATGTTGCAAAATGATTTATGTATCGTTTAGTCTATCTATCTATCTATCTATCTATCTATCTATCTATCTATCTATCTATCTATCTATCTATCTATCTATCTAATCTGAGGTGCCGGATGACTTAAAATGTTTGCATTTGTTATTATTAGTTCGGTTTCAAATTTGGCAATCAGCGACAAGTCATTTAACCATTATGTCCAAGAGAAGCACCCATTGGTATAAAGTGTGCTGACCAAGAAAACTTAGTTCAAATGTAAAAACACAAGTAATTTCTTACGTGTCTTCTTCAGAAAGGTTACAATAATAAAGTTGTGCTGACGAGAAATGTGTATGCAAGTGAACAGACACATCAGTACGAGAAACAATACAGAAAGCAAACTTTTAGAATGAAAATAATTATAATGATGTCAGTTACGATTATTACTGCCGTGTGCAGTTGGAATGTAAAACTTGCACGATGTCAGTAATCCTAAAAAACATTTGGAAGCAATCATTATTTAATTAGCTGTTCAAAAAGTGTAGTTGGTTTTATTATTGATGATTTTCTAAGCGTAGCTTAGATGTGACACAAGGCCGGAAGTATGGGACACTCCGTAAGGATCGAATTTACTGCTCTGTCATAATTGTTCTAGCGAAACAAGCTTGCTATTACGACACGTCGAGGTTCCCAAATGATTTTCTTAGCGTAACTTGAATGTGACACAAGGCCGAAAGTGTCGTAATTGATCTAGCAAGAAAACCGATTTATTAAGCGTATCTTAGTTGTGGCACCTGGCCGAAAGTATGGAACACCCAGCGAGGATCGAACTCACTACTCAGTAGTTAATGATCTAGTGCTCCAGACTTGATATTTATTACCAGTTATAAGGAAAACAAACAATTTTCTTTGTTAAGCAAATATTAATTACTAAAAATGTTGTTTTCATAATCTGCAATTTATTTGCCTGCGATTTATAGAAAGATCAAGTCAACATATATTGGTCAGAATCTACTAAACTACTGTTGTTAGTAGATGAATCCATTTTATATGGAAAACTATTCCCTTTTAGACAAGGTATTACAGCTGATCTGAATAATGCAAAGCCATTAGTTCGTTTATACCCATAATTCTTTTTTCGAACCTGGAGTAGATGTTTAATCTTGCGCTCTTATTTTCATGGCACGTGGCTGGGTGATTGAAATGTTAGCGTTCCGGTCATGAGATACGGGTTCGAATTTCACCATTGTCGATTTGTCTTCTTTTAGAGAAACGATTCCAGCGTGAAGCACTAGGGAATCATGAACCTGCAGATGTACATATAGTCATCGACATGCGCGCCAACGCATGCAGAGAATTGTATTAGTTTTAGAAATCACGTTGTGTCGAGGCTTTTCAGATATACCCTTAGGTTAAGCTAGGATGTGACTGACTCCTGTGGTGTGTCCAAATTAACTGACACTTACATTAGTATGAAGACAAATTAGCACTCACTAACTCGTATTCATAAAGGCGTCTGTTTATTTCTTTTGATGTGCGCGGAGTTAAAAAAACCCCCAAAAAACAGATGGTAAAGTGGTGTCCAAGTTCAATGCAGATTTGCGTCCATCACCTGGCCGATTGCTTTGATCTAAGCCATATTGTAACTTTCATCAGCGAAGTTGCGAGGAAATAAAAAAAATCACTTTTAGGATGCGCAAGATTAAGACACAAGTTCTGTGTGAATTTAGGTGATGAGGAATCATTGTTATTATATATTAATCTCATATTTTTATTAGTGTTCTTATAGATACAACAGGCTTACGGTCATATCACACTGAAATCAGTTCTCGTACGATCACTGAAGTTAAGCAACGTCGAGACAGGTCAGTACCTAGATGAGTGACCGATTGAGAATACCAGGTGCTGTAAGCTTGAATGTGCGTGTTGTGATAACAGCTCGGAATTTGAATGCTGGGAACTGAATTCAAGTTCCAGAGTGTTCGTTATATTTACTTACGCCCAAATACCCTTTGGGAAAGGTATGAATCCACTTTTTCTCCCCCAGCTATTGGTTAATTAGTAGGAATTATATCAGCAAATCATTATTATCTACAAAACATTCTTACAATCCCCAAAATATTTCCTGGCTTTAAATAACTTGCAAAAGATTGATAAACCGTAAAAATCAATCATATAGATACAACGTTGATTAGAAAAAAAAACAGACATTATGTTTAATGCACTAAATTTTCCCTTCTTGAGTGTCCAAGTTGAGAAAGGCATTGGTTCAAACTAACTCGTGGTCGTGAGTTCATTTCTTTTTTTTTCTGACAGTGAAAGTTATATAATTAGGTTCAGTGGGAAAAGCTAAAACGACATCACAATGATGAAATAACTGAAGAGAATTAACTGATGCGAGTTATGTCCCCTATCAGGGACAGTGACATAAGAACAATGTACCACCGTACATGAAATGCTTATATAGTTACTTGAATAAATTAAAAAGTTGCGATTATAACACTGAAGATGAGAATATTAGTTCGAATAAGTCAATGTATGCAGTGGAGGATCTATTATGAAACTAATAAAGCTTCACGGAGGCACGGTGGAGTAATGACTCGGATTGAGGAATCGGAGAACCGAGTTCGAATTCCAGTCAATTCCCATTACATTCACTTACGTGCTAATAACCTTGGAAAAGGTATGAATCTTCTTCTCCCATCAGCTATGGGTAAATAGCAGGACACTGGGTTCTATAGCCTTGGATGGCAACTGGTCTACTGCAGAAAGAAATGGCAACCTGCTGCAGGTAAAAATCTGCCACGTCAGTCATGTATCGAAAGATATGTAATCGGCTAAGCATATAACACATAATTGACTAACTGACATCAAATCAGATACATGATCGCCTAAGCGTGTGTCACGTATGGCACATAACTGTCTGAAAGCTTCACGGCCTCTAATCCCAGTGACACCTGATGTAAATTTCTTTTAATGAGTGATCTCTTCAACAAAATCGATGGAGTATTTTTTAAGTGTTCATTATTAAAATAAGTCTATTTTAGTAATAAATCCATAAGTCAATGGGTTGAAGTATTTAATATTGACCAAATAATATGCTCTAATACACATTTCATATGGTCTCAAATTGTTCATATTTCAAAATTTTCATGGGAGCTTGCAGTACTTGAGCCTCCAGATTTCGCCAGAATCTTTTCATAGGCTACATTTTGGTAGCCCGAGCCTCAAATCCTTTGTTGATACACATTTTAATAGTTCTATAGATCAGACCATAAGCTAGAGCCAATCAAGACCATAAAAAGGCACGAGAATTCTCAATTTAATCTGCTAGTGCATTTTAATACTAAAAATAAGATTTTTACCTCTTGATTAAGAGGTGAAAATATTATTTTTAGTATTAATTAATAACAAGTGTTACCTTTTGATGATGATCTACGTCTTTTGATAATCTGCCGTAGCACAACCCAATTGATGAAGATAACAGTAGTTGCCCAGACCTTGCTACTTTGGGAAGAGACTCACTGTATTGTTCATTTTCAAGGACTCCATACTTCATTCTATGCCATATGTGTTTCAATATCGTTGCAGGGTCATCGTTGGACCTTGTTGGATCTCCCCCTATTGCTGTTAATTATGGAGCCATCTCTTCCGTAATAGCTCAAGTTTCAAATGTAGGTCCGCTATTGAATGTACTATAATAAATTTACACAAGTTTTCGAAAAAGAAATTAACTATTATTTTCATTTGGTGTAGTATTATTTATTATAATTTTATTACCGTAATTGTTTCACAATCATCATAATTAAACACATTTTAGATTGCAGTATTCAGGGAAAGGCTTATTTATTAAGTTTTTTTTTAATAGTTTATAAGAGAATCTTTAGAAGAAAACGTATTCAACCACCTTTCCGCGAATTTTATATCTTTGTATCGTGCTGAGCTCACATATGTATACACTGATGTGGATGAGCGTGTGTGCATACGCTGATGTAGATGAGTGTGTGTGTATACACTGATTTGGATGAATATTTGTACATACACAGATGTGAATGAATGTGTTTGTGGAAGCTATGTTATGGCGGTGGGAAAGCAGGAGCAGAAGAGTATGTGTGGTAGCAATATTCAAAGTAAGGACGAATAGTAGTCCCTTGCCCCATTTTTAGCTGATTTTTGAGATCAGATGCCAAGTTGACCTTATGGAACCGACTAGACATACTATTAAGACAGGAGTAAATAGTTGTGTCATCAATATAGATACTGAGTTGATAATTGATGACATCAGGAAGGTCGTTGGGGAAAATTAGGAAAAACATAAGTCCAAGGATAAATCCCTGAGGAACACCTGCATTAATGCAAAAAGGTCTAGAAGAGTGGCCATTCAAGACAAGTTTCATTCCGTGATATGATAAAAAAGATCGAATCAGTTAAAGATTCGTCCAGAAATACCATAATCTTTTAACTTGTAAAAAAGACCAGTATGCGAAACCCTGCCAAATGACTTCGAGATATCCAACCACTGTGAGGTGAAATGCTTAACCAATTCAGAGTTAATTAAAGTCTCTAGTAATTTCCCAAAAAGATGTAGACGGTTAGTAAACCGATAGAAGGACCAGACGGTTCGCCCGAGTCCTTAAATACTAGAACTACAAAAGAGGATTTCTAATAAGTGGGGAAGCAAGAAGCAGCAAGGCGTTTATTGTAGAGCTTAGAGAGAACAGAACCCATTTCAGGAGTACAGGACTATTGCGGAGATACCATCACGTCCACATGCTTTGTGAGTATCAAGTTTAGAGAGGATAGCAAGAGCCAGGGGCGAAATTATATGCATATCACACCGTAGACTCAATTCTAAGTGGAAAGTCAAAGATGCGTCAAGAGTAGAATTTGAAGAGAATTTACGAGCAAAACATTCTGCTTTATCATTTAACACCTCAAATTGACTGAAAAGAGGAGGAATATAAGACTTACTTTTACACACTATTACAGAGCCTCTACTAGTCACGAGAACCAAACTTGTTAGAGGTTATACGATGCCTCATTTTATCAGCAAAGGAAGATTTGCCTCTTTGAGGACACGTTTACAAAAGCTGTCTGTTGTGATCGGAACTATCACGCTGACACAGCCCGAAAAATATTCCTGTGGGCTATAGCAGCTGAACAGGCTGGTGTGAACCAAGGATAAAATTGTTTTTTTACCTGGTATTTACGAGAAGGTACAAAAGCATGAATGCTGGTTTTAACCCAAGAAGGAACCTCTCTGGGACACTTCTCATTAAGGTTAAGAATATCAATCCAAGGGGCGTACGATCCAAAAGAAATATCAACAGATACTACAGCGTGATCTGAATCGCCAAGAGGACAGCGTTATGATGTTCGACAAAAGCTAGCAGAGGGGGTAAGCAAAAATCAAGAAGAATATTGATCAGATTTATTAGGGAAACAAGTAAGGAAACCTACTATTTTCACTTTTTTTTTTGTATTCCCCCTACAATATTTTTAACCATTATACGTTACTCAGATGCGGTTTGAAGGCAGACGGGGACCTAAGTGAAATACATAATTTAATGTAATTTTTGATTGTAGAAGTACGAAATATTTATTGGCAGTTAGGTCACATCGTTTTATTGTTGAAATAGCTAATGGTAATCGTAAGTTCTATTCTAATAGTTTCTTTTCTCGCACTTCTTGCCTGTAAAACCCTCTTCCGGTTTCTTGCATCCCTGCCACCGAGCCTCAAAAATATTTAAATGCAACGTCAATCACCATCTTCTGTCTTCCTGTCACCATGCCGGTAGTGAAATGATTGTCCTTTCTTTCACTAATGTCTTCTCGCTTTTTTTTTTTCACTCCCAATAACCACTTGTGTCTTAGTGGCGTTGTCGCCTTGCCTGAGTGAAATGATTACAAAATACACGTTATTTACGTGATCGAACTATTTTCAGATTATCGACACTAATTTTAAAATAAATCGCTTTCTTCTCGACTTAGAAGAAAACTCTGATTCATTCAGTACAGATCATTGGAGTAGAGAACTTGATTCGTTATTTTAATAAACCGCTTAAATTTGTAAAATATGCGATATCCACGGGGTACACATACCGATCCTCAAATCTGCATATAAGGTAAGCACGCATACGCAAACACCTATGCAAACAGAAGCATAAAGAATTACACCGTACACGAGAACAACCACTGCCGCAAGCGAGGAAACGAAGTGTCAAGATGATACGAGAAATGATTCCGTCCAGGCTTCACATGTGTTTACTGTCGGAGCGTAAGCCAAATGACCTCTCTTTAGAACACACACATTCTCTTCTTTCTTTCTTTCTTTCTTTCTTTCTTTCTTTCTTTCTTTCTTTCTTTCTTTCTCGACTTTCCCTTCTGTTACTCTCCCTTTTCACTTTTCAGAATCATACATGTGGTCAGCAGAGATTACTCACAGTGTCAAAGTCTCATGCAGTGCTCTTTTTTTAATCTCTTCTTTCCTGTTTTTCTTTACTATCAGTTACTTATCTTCCGTATTTATACAGTTACATATTGCATTTTATAAAACTGTTATAAAACTAATCTTTTTTTTCAATTAGTGCTGAACACGTGAGTAGCGATGAAGTTTTAGCGAAAATTGAAACAAAAAGGAAAGAAATTGACATTTGTAGGACACATAATGAGGAAAGACGGCTTAGAAAATTTAACACTCACAGTATGTGCTGAAGGTAAGAGGGACAGAAGAAAGCAAGGAATAACCTACCTAACAAGCTTGTGTTGGCGAATAACCTACTTAACGAGCTTACGGCCACATAACTTTGAAACACCTGTACCCCATATCACCGAAATTAATTAAACAACATCGAGCTTGGTCAGAACTTAGATGAGTGACCGCTTGGGAATACCAGGTGCTGTAAGCTTGGA